GCTACGCACGACGACTACAACAAATCGCGACATTTCACAACACCATAGGAGACAGGATGATTCCCTGCCAGCGTCCGATCATGCTGAAAAACGCCCTGGAACTGCAGCGACTAGTACAGAGCGAGACTGTGGCCTGGCAGGACGAGACCTCCGTCCAGCGCTACGTCGACATCCTGCAGGCGGCAGTCTCCAAGCTATCGGCGGACAACACACTTTTGGGCGGATATCACGAGCAGGCCAAGAGAACGGTGAGAAAACAATAGCTACAATTACACTTTTTAGAGTAACAGTTTTCATATAAATATATCCTCTTTTTTATCTTCCAGGTGGTTAAGCTTATGTCCACCGATCTGTTCACACAAAACCAGATCTGGAAGGACGAACTGCGGCATTTGCGCGAACTAGTGGCTACCCTGGAGCGCCAGGGATACACCCACCTGGATGCCTTTAAGCTCCACTGGGATCACCAGCTTTACAAGGTCCTGGAGTACCAGTATATACTGGGCCTCCTCGACATGAACAATAAGCTGCCGGACATACATGTAAAACTAATACTGCGACAACGCGAACTCGTCTACAGTCCTCCCGTAGAGGAGATCCGGGATCTGTACTTCAGCCAGCTGAGGAGGTTCATAGAGAGGCCCTGCAACTTCCACGGGCTCTCAGAACACAGCCAGGACCTGTTCAAGTCGATGGTCACCCTGAATAGCCATCACTTTGGGCCACTCTACAGAAGAGCCACGGAGTTGTTCGACAAGCTGGAGGACTTCAAAAGCATATGGCTGCCCTGGATCGCTCTGGGCTGCGTGGACGTGGAGCAGCTGTGTGGCATCCATCTGAACGAGGCTGGCGACTGGGACCGGAACTTCAAGGGCTGCAAGCACTTTAGTCAGCAACTCGCCAAGATCCAGCAGGCCGAGGAGTCCATCGACTGCATTGTAATCAACGTTCTGCCGCTGCGATCCGAGATAGAGATGATCAGCCGCCGTTACTGGGAGGCGCTGGCCAGCAGCTTGCGATCCTCAATCCTGGCGGACGTCAGTCTGATCCAGGAGTTCTTGCAGAGCGCTCTGCAGTTCCTACAAAACGTTCCCATGGATGAGGGCAGTATCAGTCAGTCGGGGATGAAGTACGAAAAGATAATGACCGAACTGCCGCAGATCGCCAATAACCTGGACGCTGTGCGAGGAAAGGACGCCTGCCTGGCTGGATGGTGCAAGGAAAGAGTCACCGCTCTCTCGGCGATCCTGCAGCAGTGGGAGCAGCTTCAGCCCCTGCTCGAAAACCACGCTGTTATCCTCCAGCGGCAGGTGGACATGATCAAGAACCAGGCAGAGACCCAGCTCCAGAACCTTAAGAACGAGGCGGAAAAGTTTCTGCTCCGCTGGGAGTCGACTATAGCTGAACTGGAGGCCAATGAGAATGCCGGCCTGGAGGTGTTCAAGGAGCGGCGTCTCCACTGGCAGCAGCTGCAGGAGAAGAAGAAGCAGCTTCTGGAGGAGTGCTCCAAGTTCAACATGGAGTTTCCGTCGGAGATGCTGCTGCCTTTCACGGAAATCGAGGATCAAATGGAGCGTCAGTCGAAGCAGTGGCAGGTCTACGACAGTTTCCTCACCGAGCTGCAGCCCATCCTCAAGGAGGAGTGGGCCATTTATCGCCGCCGCCCCTATGTCCTGAACGAGTTCATAGCCAAGTGGGAGGGCTCCGTCCACGCCTCCATTGACCTGCCCTCTAAGAGGATCCGTCAGCAGGTGGAGCAGCTGCAATCCTCTCTGCCGCTTCTCCAACAGCTCCAGTCGGATGCCTTGAGTGAGCGCCACTGGGCCAGGATCTTCCAGCTGCTGAACCACCAGCAGTCCAAGCCTCTGCACTCAATTCTCCTGCAGGACATTCTGCAGGACATGGAAGCACTGCAATCAGCAGCCTCAGAGATTGGGAACATCGTGCGCCAGGCTGCCAGCGAGCAGATTGTGAGGCAGGCTCTGATCGAACTGGACCAGTGGTCGGTGACTGCTCAGCTTAAGCTGATCACTCGAACGGATGCCTCCGGGCAGAGTGTGTCCCTCATCAAGGACTACCAGGAGGTGCTCAACAAGATCGGGGACAACCAGTCGTTGCTGCAGTCCGCCAAGAACTCGGCAGCCTTCGACAGCTTTTCGGATCAGGCGGAACTCTGGGAGAGCCGTCTGAATACTCTGGACGCTCTTCTCAGCAGCTTGAACCACTCCCAGAGGCGGTAGGATTTGCAGGATATGCATTATCCAATAACGAAATATCTAATCTTCTTTGCAGTTGGGTATACCTGGAGCCTGTTTTCGGGTCTGGAACACTGCAGCAGGAGCAGGCCTTGTTCAAGCGCATTGACAAAGACTTTCGGTTCGTGATGCGCGAAATAGAGCAGGACCCGCGAGTGACCTCGCTGACCAAGATCAACAACATAGCCACCATCGTGAACTCGCTGGAGACGCAGCTGGCCAGGTGCCAACAGAACCTGCTGAGCTACATAACTGTGAGTGCATTTTCGAATTAAAAATCCCTAATCCATGAATCTATTTCCGCAGGACAAGCGCAACTCGTTCCCACGCTTCTACTTCCTGGGCGACGACGATCTGCTCGAGCTGCTGGGCCAGGCAAGTAGGGACGCGGATGTCATCCAGCGGCACATCCGCAAGCTCTTCCCCGGCTGCCACAGTCTCAGCATCCGGCAGACGGGGGATAATCCTTCGGAAGGCCAAATTTACAGCATCATGGCGGTTCACAGTGCCGAGGGCGATGAGCTGAAACTGGGGCAGCCGGTGGAGATGAAAGGCGACATAGAGGTGAGTTGTTATCCTGATTAGTTTCTAGTCTCTAATAACTCCTCCTTACAATCAGCACTGGCTCAATCAACTGGTGACCGTCGTACAAGACACTCTTCGGGACCAAATCCATGAGTGCTATACTAGCACAACAGGAGGAAGCGACAACCTCACCGAGAAAATCCTGCAAAACTATGCCAGCCAGGTCCTGGCCACGGCCAGAGCACTTCACTTCACCCGCCAGACGGAGCAGGCCATAGGGGGCATGTCCCTGCCCAAGCTGCGACAACAATTAAAGGACGAAATCAACCACCTGGCCGCCATGAAACAGAGATCCCAGAGCGGCAGCCTCATCAGCATCAAGTTGAGGGCCCTCCTGCTCGACTTGGTGCACTACTCCGGCGTGGTGGAGCAGCTGCAGCAGAATAATGTGGTGCACACAACCGACTGGCACTGGCTGTGTCAACTCAGATACTACTTCGGCAGGGGGGACAGGACGTCCGGGGCGGCGGCTAATGCCAATCGACAAGTTTGCGTTCGCATGGTATACGCCGAATTTGAATACGCCTACGAGTTCCTGGGCCAGGCCAGCAAGCTGGTGCACACTAGGTTGACCCACAGGTGCTATCTCATCCTCACACAGGCCATGCACATGGGCCTCGGAGGTAATCCCTTTGGGCCCGCCGGCACCGGCAAGACGGAGTGCGTCAAAGCCCTGGGTGCCATGCTGGGTCGCCTGGTGTTGGTTTTCAATTGTGACGAGGTAAAAAATACTCCAAAAAATCGTCTTAAATTAAATACATACATGCTCTTTTCCTTAGTTTAAATAATAATATTTTTTGGTATATTATAATAACATTTGATTAGTTTTAGATTTAGTCCTTTAAAGCACTTCCATTCTTTCTCTGAGTGCATAGTAATCCCCCTGCTATTTGTCATTATGCAATGAATTGTTTGCAGAATGTAGACACCGAATCGATGAGCCTCATCCTCACCGGGTTGGCCCGTTGCGGAGCCTGGGGCTGCTTCGACGAGTTCAACCGGCTGCAGGAGGCCACCCTCTCATCCATCTCCATGCTAATCCAGCCCATCCAGAGTGCCCTCAAGGAGCGGTCAGGCAGTGTCCAGATTGGCGAGCGACAGGTGAGCAGGATGAGTTATGTTCTGGGAGGCAGGTGGAAATTGGGCAATCCCGGAATCATAAATTGCCTTCATTGGCAATTGAAGTGAAGGGCACTTTAATAGAAACCTTCTTTCTTAAATAAAGACACTAATCTCCTTCTCTCCAGGTGCAACTAAACCAACACTGTGGCATATTCGTGACCCTGAATCCGGCGGGAGCGGAGTACGGTGGCCGCCAAAAGCTGCCTGGAAATATTCAGGCCCTTTTCCGGCCCATCGTGATGCAGCAACCGGAGCCGGGGGAAATCGCCCGGGTTATGCTGTTCGTCGAGGGATTCGCTGCAGCGTCTGCCATTGCTTCCCGCATCGTGGAACTCTTCGATTTGTGCGGAAAGATGCTCTCCGCCCAGCGGCACTACGACTGGGGACTGCGGGAGCTAAAGACAGTGCTCCTGGTGTGCGGAGAGGGGCTTAGAGGGCGGCTGGCGGGCGAGGAGGCATCTGATTCCGATGCCAGTGCCGAGATGTCGGTGGTAGTCCAATGTCTGCGTGCCTCCACCATGTCCAAGTTAGCCCCCCAGGACGTCTTGCGATTTGAGATGCTGCTCCGGAATGTCTTCCCCGAGATTGGCAGTGCGTCCGCCCCAGAAACGGCTCTCCATCAGTCTCTGTCCGCCGCCTTCGGGCAGCTGGGACTCTGTCGGAGCGAGAGGCAAATGGAAAAGGCCCTCCAACTGCACGAGCAGCTACAGAAGCGGATGGGCGTGGTGGTGGTGGGCCCGCCGGGGTGCGGCAAGTCCACCGTCATGGCCCTCCTCCGACAGGCACTCAGCGGCCACCAGCAGCTCAGGGTGCACACGATTAGCCCGAAGTCCATGAGCCGCGTGCAGCTGCTGGGCCGCCTGGACGCGGACACGCGGCAGTGGCAGGACGGAGTACTCACCCACACGGCAGTGGTCGTCAACCAGGAGCCTCCGCACATGCATTCGTGGATCGTCTGCGACGGCAGCATCGACCCGGAGTGGATAGAGGCCCTTAACTCTGTTCTGGATGACAACAAGTGAGTAGAGATAGCACTAATTCACATTTTAGCAAGTTCTTGCTACTTATATTTCGCTCATGTTTGCGCATAAATTCGTATTAATTATTTGCGACTGCCTTACGTTATCATATCATATAGGTAGGTATACAGTTATCGCTATTTCGTAGTGTATATCGTGTCCTAAAACTGCAAGTATTGTATCTCTATCACTTAGCGACTAAACAAAATACGTACAGACCTAAAAAACAGAGAAATGCTGAAAACAACGGCGACGCTTAAAAAAAACATATAAACACATGACCGGGAAGCCCACTAAACTAACGTAATACGTGTGTACGGCATTTTACAAATGGCGCCTACTTAACAAATACATTTAAATACAGACACATACGCTCTGTATGTGTGAATGGATGAGTGTGTTGGGTGCGAAGGTGCGAGTGTGTGCGTATGAGAGGCTGGCACACATCCTTGGGAGTTGTGGGCTACAAAGAACTAGACTCAAGTCCTGAAAGTCCTGCCATTGCAATTGTTTCCTTTTTATCACAATAATATTAAATTTCAAAAATCCTTCAATTGCAAAGCGCCTTTCTCTAAAAAAATATCTGATACTCATTAATCTCAGTGAGTTCTAAACTCGATTGCATAAAATTAAAAAAAATACTTGAAGTTAAAATTAGAAAAGAAATCAAGGACTTAACGTTATTGTAGCTCAAGCGGTCACAACTCCCGGCATGTGTGCCCCAAACTATAGATGCAATTAGCTGGCTAGAGAGTTGAGCTTAGGACTAAAGGCGAGAGGTGCCCCCTCACTGCGGCGCATGTTGGAGCTGTGGCGGCGGCGCTGCTTGAGGTTGCTGCTGCTGGTGCGAGGCAGGTGGCGGGGGCGGCAGGGGTGGCAGCCCGACCGAGGGCGGCGGCGGCAGGACTGTGGATCGCATGTGCTGCATGTGCGCCTGCGGCGCCATGTGCTGGAACATGTTGCAGTGCTGCTGCTGTTGCAGGTGGTGCTGCTGCTGCTGTTGCTGCTGATGTTGGTGGGCACTGAAGTGATGCTGGGGCTGCTGCTGGGCGGGACTGACATCGGGCGCAGTTTGGAGAATGATTTCGGGCTCGAGGTTCAGAGCCAGATCGGCGTCCTCCTGCGATGGTTGCTGCTGTGGATTTCTCAGGGAGGCCAGAGCTGCCGCCTGCGCCGCCGCCATGGCCGAGGCGGACACTTCCTGGCCGTACTCCTGCTTGATTCCGTTGGGAGGTGGTCCTCCGTAGAGGGTGGCACTGAGGTTCTGGTGGAGGATCGGGTGGCACAGCTGCGGCATCAGCGTCACCCCCGTAATGGGCAGCGCGGGATGACCGAAGCTTCTGGGCGGATACAGCTGCTGCAGCTTGTTGAGCTGCTGCAGGTGCGACGCGTGGGCGGGTGGCGAGGCCAGCTGAGAGAGCGTACTGGAAGTCATCACCCGGTTCCGTTGGTGGGCCAGTTGATGACTCAGCTGCTGCTCGTGCAGATGCGTAGGCGGTGGTCGTTGTTGTTGCTGCTGAGGCTGATGCTGCTGCTGTTGTTGTTGTTGCTGCTGCTGTTGTTGCTGCAGCAACTGTTGCTGCTGCTGTTGCAACTGTTGCACTTGCTGCTGCAACTGCTGCACCTGCTGCTGCTGCTGTTGCGTGGGCTGTGGCAGTGGTTGCGTGGGCGGCACTCCCACCTCGGGCTTCACCATAGGCACTGGCGGTATCATCGCCGCAAACTCCGGCGGCAGCTGTCCCGGGTCCGTCACGAGAAGTCCCTTCTTGCGGTCCTTCCTGATCTTGTCCCGCAGCTTCTCCAGCTGCCTGAAGGCTTCGTTGGCCCTCCGGGCCTTCTTCCTGTCTCTGTCGCGCTCCTGCTCGAGCCTCCGGTACTCGGGATTCAGACGCTTCACCCGCTTCCTCTCTCGGTCCCGCTCCCGCTGGAGCATCTTCAGCCTCAGCTCCTCCTCGGGGGTCAGCTGCAATCGAAGAGGGGAAAACATATTAAAGCACATCGTTCCCAGCCACATCTACTGTGGGAGTTTGTCTAGTTTGGAGGGTTCGGAAAGTGTCAACAGTCCGGGGATAAGCTCAGCCCCTGCCCCCTAAGAACTCAAGGACCAGACCGGAAAGGGTGTGCTGGGGTGTGGGCGTGTCGGTGTGTCGTGTGTTTCGTGTTAGGGTGTGTGCATGTTCATAGTAATAATATAAAATATTGGAAAAATGCTACGTTAGCACGTCGTGCCTTCTTGCGGAATCGATCGCGCTCTCGCTCCATGCGCCGGTACTCGGGATTGAGGCGCTTTATCCTCTTCCGCTCGCGATCTCGCTCCCGCATGATGAACTTGTGGCGCGCCTCCTCCTCGGGGGACATCAGCTGAAATAACAGAGAGAGCGGTTGGTTGGCAATCGCAAATCGCAAACGGCAGTCGGCGGAATGGGTCGTGTCTGGATCGGGAAATAGGTGTCTGGATCTGGCATGGTCTTATGTAGCTTAGTGTGTCACCCTCTCATCTTGTCTTGAAACTTTCAGGCTCTTGACTCTACCATCTGGCTGGAGGATCCAATTCGGGAACAATGTAAACTTCATCTTTGAAACGGACGACGTGAGGCACGCCTCTCCGGCAACAATTTCCCGCATGGGAATCGTGAACATGAGGTTGGCAAATACTCATTCATTTTTTAAATAATACTATACCTCACACTTTTTAAAGTTACGACTGTTATCCTGACAAGGAGATACTTAAGCACGAGCTCTCGAAGGAGCCGTATTACGGGGACCTGCTCCAAAACTACGTGGACGGCAACTTTCAATATGCAGTTAACTGGTTGGAGAGTCAAGGACTATTGAGGTAATCCTCCCAGAAATGAAGCATACTAAATGTGTAACTACTCTACTGATTCACAGCCACCTTCCCGGGATCAACCGCATTCACTTCCTCCACTCCCTGCTTCTGCAAGTGCACGGCTCGAAATCCTTGGAGGAGTACGGAGCTGCCACCCTGAGGGCCCTCTTTGGGTACATGCCAAATGATCGCCAGAGGGAGTTCGCCCAACTATTCCTGAAGCACGCCAATCTCTACATCCCGAATCCCAACCACGCGGAACTGACCCACTACGACAGTCGGAGAAACGCCCTGGAGCAGTATCCCCTGGACGTACTGGAGACTCCCGAAAAGGGCTCTCAGTTGGTGGTGACAGCCTACGTGAAATCGTACTTGGAGATTTTGGAAACCCTGCTAAGTGCTCAGAGGAATCGCCTGCCACCCTTCATGCTCATTGGCCCGAGTGGCGCTGGGAAGACTCTGCTCCTGCAGAGGGCGGTGATGGAAAACTCCGGCTACCAACTGGTCACCATCAATTGTTCCACCCAACTGACGCCCAGCTATATCTTGCACGCCCTGAGGACGCACTGCGTCACCGTGAGCGGACTCAAGGGCCGGGAGTACCGTCCAAAGCAGGCCAGATTGGTCCTCTTCATGAAAAATTTGGACCTCTGTCAGCTGGACTCCTGGGGTGCGTGCGAGGTGGTGGAACTCCTGCTCCAATTGGTCCAAAGGGCGGGATTTTATGCCGAGAACCTCGAGTGGATTGGCGTAAATGGACTCCAAATCTGTGCGTCCATTAGCGGGAATCCGATGAAAATAGCACCGCGGTACTTTGCCATCAATCAGTTCGTGAGGGTGTCGCGGCCGACCAGCCAGGACATGCTCGAAATTGTCCAGCGCAGGCTGGAACCGCTCCTGGGCGAGCACTTCAGGGTGGTGGGCGGCAGGGGATCTGCGGGTGGCGGCGGAGTCAATTTGCAGCATGCCAGCGAGAGCCTGATGGAGTGCTTCGAGAAGGTTCGTACCACCAATTATGGCCCATTTTCGGGAATTTTCAGCATCCGAGGAGCTGCTAATTGACTTTGCCCCTATTCCAGCTGCAGGCCACTTTCACGGCCACTGGAGGGAGGCAGGCCCACTACCAGTTTAGCCCGAAGTGCATCATGAAGCTGCTGCACGACCTCGTTTTCTACCCCTCCTCCGATTTCAACGAGGTGTGTATTTTTCGCAAAAAACTTAGCTTGTTGAAAGCGCAAGGGCTTCCGGATATTATCTAGCACATATCCTCTCTAAACTATTTTCCTGACAGGCTCTTCACTGCGAGTTGTTGGGAATGTTCAAGGATCGGCTGATAAGTGAGGAGCACGTCCAGCAATTCGAGGCGATTCTCAAGCAGACAATGCGTAAATATTACGGAAAAGAGGTGACCTTTGATTAAAGTATTATAGCTGGGACATGGGTAATAAATTCAATTTTTTAGAAAGTATTTTTCGTGCCAAAGTCGCCAAAATCTCGGGGTCAACTGCGGTGTCTGAGCCACGACGAGTGGCTGGAGGAAGTTCAACGACAGGTTACAATATGCAGTGAGTATATTCGAAAGAATCAATGAAAACAGGATCTACTATCTTATTTTTGGAGACTGGAAAGCCATTATTCTACCACTTCTAAGGACAGACTTCCCGCTCTTTTTGAATGCCTCACCCCGAATGCTCCAGAGCTTAGGTTTAACTTGCCCTCCGGGATTTCCGTAGGTTCAAGACAAGAGGAAGGTCGGAGATGACAGTCGGGGGCAATCGGATTTTGGATAACTACACTGGGCCGGGGCGTCTGCTTTCGGAACCGATCCCGTTCCCGCTCCATCTGCCGGAACTCTGGATTCAGTCGCTTGATTCGCTTTCTTTCGCGGTCGCGCTCCCGCATGATGAACTTTTGTCGCGCCTCCTCCTCCGGGGTCATCCACTGAAAGTAGTTAGAAATGAAGGAAATTTAGTTAGAGAGTAGGCAGATTAACGAGATCCTTATTATCCTTATTGGGGAATAGATAATCCAACATTATCCTTTAACAGACACCGAGAGCTACAGCATCACAGCACCCATCACTGAAGAGCTACTGAATCACATTGCCAAAATAACTCGAGTCCTGTCCCGCAACGATGCCCACATGCTCTTCTTGGACGAGTCTGGAGGACGTCACCTGGATGCCATTTACGCAGCGGCCACCATGCAAGAGGCCAAGGTGATAACCCTTCAGGGAGGACCTTCCTACGACCTGTCCGAGTTCTACAACGACCTCAAGCTAGCCATGCAGACAGCTGCTCTGGAGCAGCAGACGAGCTACCTGGTCATCGAACACTGTTGGATAGGCTATGTCCCGGATATCTTGAAGCCCATTGAGGCCCTTCTGGAAGGAAGCGAAATTCTGGAACTGTTTGGCGATGATCTGGAGGCGGTGGCCAGTACTCTGAAGCAGGCAGCTCAGCTGGAGGGATACCAGGAGTCCTTGGGAGCATATTTCATGAAACGTAAGTCCCAGAATACTCCTTGATCTTTATTTAACGTTTACCACTCTGCAGGAGCACGTGAGAACCTGCACTTCGTCTTGGTTCTGGACCCTAGTAGCTTCAAAGTACAGGACTACTTCGAAACCTATCCTGCCCTGCACCGTCAGATGGATCTCTTGTACGTGAGAAGGGAGTCTCGGGAAACCCTCGCCATGCTTCCCAAGCAGTTCATCGAGCTGCTCAATGAGACACTATCCGGTGGTGGAAGTGGTCGCGGCAAGGTGCCCGTTTGCAGCCACTTTGCCGACATGTCGGAGGAACTGCCTCCGGATCAGCCCTCCCAGAGGTACTACCAGCTGATTCAAACCTACTTCCACATGTACAGCAATGCGGCCACTGAAATCGACCAACGACTGGGCAAGCTCCAGCTGGGCGTAGACAAGTTGGCCGCGGCCCATGCCCTGGTGGACACCCTGAAGTCCAATGCCGCCGCCCAGGAGCAGGCTCTGGGCGAGAAGCGGCAGCTGGCCAACGACGCCCTCGAAATGATTTCGGCGACCATGAGAAACGCCAACGATCAGAAGACCAGTATGCTGGAGCTGAAGCAGCAGACCCAGAGCAGCAGCGAGCAGCTGAAGCTGCGCCAGAAGGAAATCCAACAGGAGCTGGCGGAGGTGGAACCGATTCTGGCGGAAGCTAGCAACGCCGTGGGCCAGATCAAATCGGAGGCTCTGTCCGAAATCCGATCCCTCAGAGCTCCGCCCGAGGCGGTGAGGGACATTTTGGAAGGAGTCCTGCGCCTGATGGGCATTCGGGACACGTCCTGGAACAGCATGAAGACTTTCCTGGCCAAGAGGGGAGTCAAGGAGGACATACGGTCCCTGGATCCCGCCCGCATCAGTCCAGAAAACTGCGAGGCCGTGGAGAGGTTGCTTCAAGCCAAAGGAGACTCCTACGAGTCGAAGAACGCCAAGAGGGCTTCGGCGGCCGCTGCTCCCCTTGCAGCTTGGGTGAAGGCCAGTGTGCGGTACTCCCGGGTGATCCAGAGCATAAAGCCGCTGGAGCGGGAGCAGAATGAACTGCAGCGGAATCTCAATGCTGCCGAGGACGAGATGCAGCAGCTCGCCAGTGGCCTGGACGACGTGGACAAGCGAGTGAAGCAGTTGTCCGCCAAACTGCAGACCTACACCCAAGAGGCGGCGGTTTTGGAGCTCAAGCTCCAAGAAGCCAGCGGCAATCTGCAGGCCGCCGAGCTGTTGGTGGGAAAGCTGAGTGCGGAATACGCCACCTGGAGCGATCAGCTGGCGGAGCTGAAGAAGGCCCACAAAACCCTGGATGCAAAGACTCTGCTAATTGCCCTTGCAGTGAACTACTACGCCGGGTTGGGACTGGAACAAAGAAGGTGAGTTAAAGTTAAAGGATCTTTCATTGGATTTCTTACAAACTCTTTTTTTCGGCAGCTCCTCCCTCAAGCGTCTAGCGTCGGACTTTCACCTTCCATCCGACTTCGAGCTCCGGGGTGCCCTGCTTACGGAGCAGCAGCAGATCATATGGGAAAGCCAGGGACTGGCTCGCGATGCCCAGATCATTGAGAGCGCCGCTCTTCTCAGGGAGATGCTCACTCTGCCGTACGGATCTTGCCCCATCCCGTTGCTTCTGGATCCCACCCAGACAGCAGGCGAGTGGCTGATGGCATACTTGAAAGGAAGCGGCAGACCCTGCGAGCTCACCACCCACGGAAACGAGAGGCTGTCCTACCAACTGGAGCTGGCGGTACGTTTCGGCAAGACCCTTCTGGTCGCCGACTGCGAACAGTTGCGTCCGCCCATCCTGCAGCTCCTGCAGGGTCACATCTACGTGAGGTTCAACAAGAGGCAGTTGGCCATCGGCTCCAAGCTGGTGGATCTGCACGAGAGTTTCCAACTGGTCCTGATAAGCAAATCTCACCGCCTGGATCTGCCCGAAGAGCAACGAAGTCGCTTGAGCCTGCTGAGATTTACGGTGACAGCCGCTGGGCTGGCCGACCAGCTGATGTCCAAGTCTATAGTCTTGAAAAACGCAGAGCTGGAGCAGCAAAGAATTCAGCTTCTCCAGAAGGAGGGAGATCTGCTGAAGCAGCGGACGGATATGCAGGACAAGCTCCTGGAGCAACTGTCCAGGTCAGAGGGAGACATCCTCCGCAACGACCAACTTCTGGCCAGCCTGAATGAGGTCAAGCAAAGCAGCGCCCAGATAGAGGAGGCTCTCAAGCAGAGCGGGGAAATCAAGGCCACTTTGCTTTCCCAATTCGGATCCTTGAAGGAGCTGTGCACCAAAGCGTCTGGATTTTACGCCGGGCTCACCAAAGGATACGACTTGTCGGCTCTGGTTTACATAGAACTATTCCTGGGAGCTCTGTCGAAGAACCAGCGCGAGGAATCCAAGGTATATGAGCTCCTGGTGAGGAGTGTTTACCTCAATCTGGCCAGAGCCACGTCCAGGGAGAGCCAACTGTCCCTTTCCCTTTGGGTCTGCCATCAGGCGTATCCGGAGAAGCTGAACGCCAGGGAGTGGGACCTGTTCGTGAACAATTTCATGGGCAGCTCAGATGGCAGCATGCTCTTGAACCAAATGGGAAAGCTGCCCGACTGTATGACCAAGGACGCCCAGTTGAAGCTGGCCATGTTGCTGCAGTTCTTCCCGGACCTCCGAGGAAAACTCCAGCTGGACAAGGATTACATCTGGCGGGGATTCATCGAGGCCCAAGCGGATGATGTGCTGCGTAAGTTGGACAACAAATTATTCAGAAATTCTTGTTTTTACCGATTACTCTTCCACACTTACAGCTCCTTTGGGTCCCAGCTTCCAGCGAGTGCTCATTGCCCAGATTTTCAGGCCCGACCTGATGCTGCAGCAACTGCGAAAAGTGACCAGCGATCTTCTGGGCGTTTCCCCCGAGGCCTCCACCCAGCCTTCGGTGGAGCAGTTGCTGCAGCAAAGCAGCTGCGACCGCCCCATTCTCATGATTAGTCAGGCGGAGACCGATCCCACCACGGAACTCAGGAAGTGGGCCAATCAGAAGTACAGGGAAATGGCCATCGGCAAGGGCTCGGAAAAGAGAGTGCTCACCGAGATGCGGCAGGCAGCCTTGGATGGCCACTGGCTGTGCGTAAAGAACGTCCACCTGGTGCCAGAGTTCCTAACTCAGATGATGAGGGAGCTGTCTGAGATGCAAAAGTCGAAGGAGTTCCGTTTGTGGTTGTTGTGCGAGACCACGCAAGGATTCTCCGAGTCTGCGGTCTTTAAGTGCCTCAAGGTGCGCTACGAGCAGCCCAAGGGCCTCAAGCAGATTGTCCTCCGGCTCTTGCAGAACTACGCCGCCGAACAGGATCAAAACGTGAAGAACCAACCGAAGAACCTAAAGATGCGGCTGGTATACTTCATTCTCACGGCGGTTCTGCAGCAGAGGCGGCAGTTCATACCCCAGGGGTGGTCCAAGTACTACGAGTTCGGGGAGGCGGACCTCAAGGCTGCCCTGGGCATCCTCAAATGGATGGATCAGCAGCTGAACTCCAGCAAATGCGACTGGCTGCTCTTGCAGCGTCTGAGCGAAGCCCTAGCCTACGGAGGAAGGATCAACAACCACAGAGACCTGGAGATTCTGGGCTGCTACCTGAATCAGTTTTGCTCCCCTGATGTCTTGAGCAGCAGGTGGTCCCCGCTGGGATTACCCCTCTCTATACCCACGAGCCACCAAATACAGGACTACTACGCGGCCCTGGAGAAGCTTCCCGATCTGGACGAGCCCAGCATGTACGGCCTGGCCAGCCAAGCGCAGCAGCAGCGGGAGATCGAGCAGGCCAAGCGGGTGATCAAGGAGCTGAGGAGCCTGCACTACGGCAGGGGCTCCGATCTGTCTCCTGGAGTGGCCAAAGAAGGTGCCGCCGACAACCTCAAGGATCGCCAGAAACTTGAACACCAAATCAAGCCTCTGCTGAATCTCTGGCGGAAACTGGCGGGATCCTGCACGATCCTGCAGACCCTCAAAGAGGCCACGTCGGATCCTGGCGAGTCCCCCTGGGCCCTGTTTGTATTGGCGGAACTAAAATTGGGGGGCGACTTGTACCACACTGTCCACCAGACCCTCTCCCAGATGCACGCCTGGCTGAAGGACGCCCAAGATGTGGACGCTGCCACGCTCAGAGCTTTGGCGGAGCAGCAGGTGAGAATGGGAGAGATCCCTGTGTGAAACACAAAACTCATCTCGAAGCATTTCAGATTCCTGCCAGCTGGCTGAAACTTTGGTGCGGTCCTGGCAGCTCCAGTGCGGTGGACTTTCTGAGAGCTCTGATAGTCCGTGCCCAGGCTGCCGAGCAGAGATATCGGGAGCAAGTGCATCTGGAGTTCGGCGAGGAGGTTAATCTCTCCCAGGTCTTCAATTGCGAGAATCTGCTTGCCTGCCTGAAGTTGTTGCAATCTCGAAAGCTCAGTGTTTCCTCCGAACGTCTGGAGCTAAGAACTTTGCAGAATAGACAGGAGGATGGATCAGTGATCCTTAAACTGGCACCACTAAAGGTGAGTTCTGAGATTCAAAAAGGACAGGAAACCCCTATTCTGGATGCTAGATTTTTATTTTTACAAAAATTAATGTAGATTTCTTTATGGTTAGTCCGTATAATTTAGGACCCTAGTGGTACTTTCTTTGGATTATTATTCTTCCATGTTTATTCTTCACTATATAGTCTCCACTCACTATATAATATCAGACAAACTAAACAGTATCTCATAGGAATACAAAAATAGTCACGAATCCTTCAACTTGCACAGCTATGAGAACGAGGAACCTCCAATCAATTGCCAATTGTACATTGGCTGTCTGATCCTTGGGGCTATCTATTTCCTGCTGTTTTTGTGGGGTCCCCAGTGAGTCCTCCTGCCACCACCCCCCTTCTCCACCTCTTTCACGGTGGCTTCTGGGCGTCTGTCTTTGTGTCTCTTACCTTCCCCATTTTGGCCATAAAGTGCGTCTCCATGCCCGGCCGTCTGTCGCTCACTGCTATCGGCTGTCCTATGCTGTCGGCCTCCATTTTCAGGCTCCCGTTCACCGCATCGATATTCAACATTTATTCGGCAGGCCGTTCTTCTTGGTTTTTTTCACGCTTGTCTTTTTTGTTTTCATTTGATTGACATTCCGGCACAGCAGAGTTGCCAGATTGATGTTGAGAACATATCGATATCGAATGATAACATTCTGTTAAGAGCTGCAGTGCTGTTAGGCGCGGGGTGCTTGGTATTTTCTGACCAACCACTTAACAGTCATACTAAATGTTAAGAAGATTTCAAACTCCGCTAGATGGCGCTGTTCTTAACCCATGATTGAAAATATTTTTAAATTTTTTTTGAAAACCTTAATATATTGCTCATGCGCACTGTTTCTCGACATTAAACCTTTCATTCCAGATTGATGGCGCTAAGAGTGGACAGGAAAAGTCGAACCCATTCTACATTACGTACAAAACCAAGGAGGAAAATAGCCAGGCTGCTCCTAGTTCCTCGAAATTTGGAAAAAACTCGTTGTATCCTTCAGAGAAGAGCGAATCGAATCCGAAACTGCCTTTGTATTCCCGAAGCAGCAGGGACAAGCTAATATGCCATCTTAATGTGGATAATGTTTCGGGGACATCGGAACAAATCCTGCTAGCCGGCACAGCTTTAATCGTCGAGGATTACTAATATCAAGTCCAATGAATATTGTATTACATAAATATTTTGAAACTAATAAACATTTTAAGGCTAACTTAACAATGCTTTAGGAAATTACCAGTTGCCAGCCACAATTCAAAAGCCAACGGATCATTAAACATTCAAGCCCAGGACTCGTAAGTGCTAATTGTTTCTGGTTTCTGTCCTTAGCCCTGGCTTGTTTATTTGGGGATGCCCCTCAAATTAATTTCCCACAACCGAAAAGGATTTTGTGCTTCGTCCTGCAGTAGCGTCCCTCATAATCTGCTCATATTAAACTAATTGCCGTAAATTTCAACAACAAACTGCCATAAATGTTGGCCATACTTTTAGTTGCCAAGACGCCACGCCCCCTGCTCATACCCAGCACCCCCTTGCTGCTTTGCCTTCTGGGCCTAAACCATTTTACCGTCAAAAACTTGTCTTAACTTTAATTAAGTGGCATTATGTTCAATTAGGCAAAAGTTTCCAATATGCAAATTAACACAATTTGAGTGTAAAGTGCCCCCGGAGCGGGAGGCAGGGGCGTGGCACTCAGCTCCTGTGGCAGATAAATTACCACGAACACACAAATCAAAGAGTCTGGAATAAGAGGGCGTGGCTCTGAGGCAGACACATTCTGTCCATATCCTGATTTGTTCACTGTTGAGTCTCTAAAATAGTAATTCGATAATGTTCATTTAAAGATTAAAGATTCAAATTCCAAGTAAAGTTAGTAGCTACTAAACGTGGATGGCTTAGATACGAAACAATCAATAAATCCTAAAACTAAAACTAAACCTATTATTAAAACCGCAAAGTAGGATTACCTACTTGGAGCCAAAATGGTTCATTATATTAAAGTTCAAAGCCCGTAACCACAGGATATTAGGGATGCGGATGCGGATGTTGAGACGGATAATCCCCAGCCGGTTGTAGCTTAATTATCGTCAACCTTCTGATGGCCTGGAACCCGAATTGACGATTAAATTTCCAACTGTCTTATTTGTAGTTGATGGCCGGCCAATTCCGCAATTCACACTCACATCCACATATTCATATCCTTGAATGCATCGGTGTCTGTGTGGGTGGGGAGGCTACAGATATGTTTGACAAATGTTAGGGGCCAAATGGCCATATCCTTGTAATCCCTGCCAGCCGACAGCCGACAAGCCCTGGCCATCGAGCATCGGCATTGGGCTCTAATTGCAGTCGCCTCCAATGAGCTCGGATTAGAAATTAATTAAAGTATAAGGATAATGTGGCATATGCAGGTCCTGCCGTTTCCCCAGGCTCCGTATCTGCCATAATTGTAAGCCCTTCGAATGTGATTAATCAGATTTCTCTAATGCCGGACTTTTGAGTCCTTTGGCTTTGACTTCCCCCCAGATGTAGAAACTCAATGACCCGACAACCCATTTGAATGACGGCTTGTGCCAAAAGGTTGTACCACTCAACCGATTACATTTTAATTGCTCTTCAGTTTTAGTTTAGAGGGGATTATGGGTTAATATATAAACTAGAAATTTAAATTGTCAGTTGAGGTTAGTTTGGATTCAAAAGGACATGATCTGCCTCCATATTAGCCAAGATGTGCCCTCAATATTATTCGATTTTTGATGCACACTTCGTACCGAAGCATCTGAAGCCTTTCTGGCATTATGCAACATTCTCGTTCGTTTCTTAGTGTAATCCCGACTTATCTCACCTTCCCCCCAAGGTTCAGAAGGCAGCAAAAAACAGCGCAACATAGAGAATATTTCATGCATAATGCCGAGGAAGGAGAATCAACAAAATGCAGATAACGCGACGGCAGCTGTGCCCCTTTTTTGTTTTTTTTTAGTCCTTCATGGGGATGTCAGCGGCGTTTCCGGTTTCCGTTTTGCCGCTCAGTGACTAGCGCCACCTGGCGGACGCTGATGTCGCCAGTCCTGCACTCCAGGCACGTGATAAGGTCCTTTTTTTTTGCAGCCATTTTCTATTTTTATTTTGCGTTGGAGTGGCGAATAAATAGCATTTTTGTTTCGGCAGCCGCATTTCATATTTGTGTTTCCAGCCATCGCTCCTTCTGCCGCTTCTTTGGCCTTTTTGCTGCAAACTTTCCTCTTCCTGTTCAGATCCTTAACCCATGGAGCCGCGAATTGTTGCAGCGGCTGCTCTTTCCCAGTTTTGTATTTATTTGCGTGTTAACTCAGTCACGTTCCGGGGTTCGGGGGGGGTCGGTGCAATCAGCGTTTTATGCATTCCACGGAAGCGAGTGTAGAGGGCGCTGGGGGAGTGGCAAACTCCCATTCAAAGGCCGCTCATTTTGGCGGGTTTTTCTTCTGTCTGCACAAAGGTGCATAATTTTAGTTAAATTTTTGGCATTTCATGCACGAAAACGTTTCTGGGTTAATTTACGCGTGGAATTCAATATTCGCGCCACTGCCTCCTGCCTGGCCCCACCCCCTCCTGCGACGCATTCAAATAAAATTGAATTAAGCGCTAAATGAAACGGAATTTATGCCCCACGTGTGCAGAAATATTTTCCATTCTGACCAACATAATTTGAAACGGCGTTGTCCTGGCAACAGGTGCACTCGCACTCATCCATTCCCTGAAATTGTCACTCTTTCACTGCAATCCAAGGCCCATAGAATATGTTATTAACCCACAACAAAACATGTTTGTAGATACATTTATTAATAACAATTAATAAGGCAAACAAATACCTTAATGAAAGTTTATAATTTCAGTTTCAGGCTCTAGTTTCGAGCAATATCCCTAATAGGAATTTAAACTTTCCTGAAAAGGTGTCAGGTTCCAATTACAACTTTACAATCCATCGGAATAAGTGCAGAAGCTACGGAATGAAATAGCATTTGAATCGCAAACGAATTAAATGGTCAAGTAACTTTTACGGTGGAGAGGTCCCAGAGTTATCTCCGCTCTCGGTTTCGAATAAACGTCACAACAATTAGGCAACAGTTATCTGTCCATTACACCAAGAAGTCGCCGGATAGGGGCACTTGGGCGGAGGCCACCCTTTCCTGTTCGCCCCGGGCTGTCGTCATAAATTTCTGGGGCCCAAGGCTTTAAACAAACTAGCACAAAACTCATTTGGTAAACAGACAGGATATGCAGGATGTGCACAATGGCTGTGGTGGGGGGCGGTGTGTGCCAGCGGGATTATGTCAGTGTGCGTGTTGAAAGTAGAACTGCAGAAGTGTTGCAGTTGCGAATCTTGAAAGTTTTCAACTGGGTTTTTGGCCAAAAACTTTTCGTTACCGCCGCCTGCTGGTCATGTTACCATGGATTTTGTTGTGGAATTCGCCTTTCCAAGCCTTTTCAAAGGGACTTTGCATACACGAAAGCATTAGAGGCAGGGGCAGGGCGGAGCGACCAGAGTGCTTAGCCTTGGCAGCGACTTTGGCCTGTAAAAGTTATGGCCGGAACACATCGAAAGCCATGTTGCCTCCAGGTAGCATGCTGTTTGCCACTTTCTGCGGTCTCTCCAAGAACAGAGCAGAGCTCACCGGGAGAACTGTGAAAATGTGTTAATTAACCGTAGGCGAAGGTGAAAGTCTGCTTGTTTTGGGGAAATTAGCACTTGCGATGTCAAGCGATGATAAGTAATTAGCGCGAATAGAGTAAAGTGGGCAAGTTAATGCAATAATAGGGTCTAGTGGGACTTTAATTTGAATTCTTTATTGAAGTAGAAGTTTTCCTCGTATTTGTATCGGTCTGATTGTGAACCCTCTACAATTAATGATGGCTTCGTTTCTATGCCACTGGCATATCCAGCATTCCACTCATTTGATTTCATTTGTTATCATCATCAACTTGATCTCTGTGGCAGGACGGGGGGCGGGGCAGGGAGGTCCTTGGTCTCAATTTACGTCTGCTTCTGATTTCTCGTCGCATCGCCGGCTAATTTATGCGCTCCGCTGGATAATAAATTTTATATTCACGTTAAACAAAAACAAACGCGAACCAAAGACCCATCGAACTAACCATATGTTGTCTCTCTCAAGCCGTATCTCGCCGTCTCTCTCGCGACTCGTGGGCCCCCGACAATATGTCATTTGTTCTTAAATTCGCCAGAGTCCTTCGCTTTTCTCCGCTCTTCCAGCTCGCCTTCTTTATAAATATATTATACATATCCTTGCATTGTTGTTCTTTCGATTCCGAACCATTTGTTATCGAATTTGTTTGTGCTTATTTTGTATGCCAAACGGCACGAGAGTCCTTTTCAGAGTGGGCGGTGGGTGGTGGAGGTGGGCCGGCACCGCCAGGGGGCGACATGTGTCCTTGTGGGCTCGACACGACCATCGCATCGCATCGCCCAGATATATGCATGTTAATTTGCTCTGATTCAATAGGTTAGCATTGAGTTATGGTGACATTAGGCACGGGAAGTCCTCCAGGGGATGAGCGTTCGTTTTGCAGGATGTTCCGGCCACAGAGAGGGGACTGATTCGTGGTTGGATGAATGCAAGTGAATAATTTATAAAGTCCTGCAGATAAATACAGAATAATTTTTAAATTTCCTAGAACTAATGAATGGCAAAAGTTGGCCATTTTCGGCATTGTGATGGACAACTCTCCCCCAATATCTCAAAACTTTGGCATTATTTAAATTTCAAAACCGTGTCCTGTCCGAAATGAAAATTCATTTACAAGTAACTTCAATTGATTTCACTTGTTACAGTCCCCTTCCGTATCCTTTTTAGCCTGTTATCCTGTTGCTAGCATTTCCCTCGGCATGAAATTATGTTTAACATGTTTTCAAAGGAAATTCTTATAAATGTTTATGCATTTCCGCTGCGCATCCACAAACTGCTTCAATATACCGAAGCTTATTGAAAACTTTTGCAAACTGTTGCCCGATTCCTCAGGGGCATTTTATCTTTATGCCAGCCAAACAACCCGCCGACCCCATAGCCCCTGCCAACGCCAACCACTTTGTCCGGGGTCAGGGGTCGGGTTCAATGTGGGAGGTCGGACTCTAAGTGCTTTCTTGTATATATATGTACACAGTTTTGCAATGGCAGGCTGGGAATTTGCCTTGCCTTTTCCTTTTTCAGCCTTCCGAAGGCGCAATTGATTGGCAAAATATTGTGGCAGCAGTGTCCTGATTCATTGACAAACTTATGCCACATCACGAACAAATCTTGATTAGTTGGGATTATTTTTATCCTTTTAAAGGGACGACAACTAAATGGTAAGCAGTTGAAGTTTGACTTATCTATATGAATACATATACGTATAAGTAATTATCAATAATGTTTTCCTATTGTTCAGTCTTAAGTTTTACAAAAATCTTTAGAGATATTCCTCTTAAGAATCGATTAAAAAGTGGCTAGTATTTGGAAAAGTGCGATGAATTAAAACAGATAAAAACTTTCATAATCAAAATACACAATAAACCTCAAAATTTGTTTAGTCGGAGATTGAAATGAACATCGGCGTGGAATTGATCCACATCCACTTTAAGGATATTCCTTGGAAGAATCTGCGAAAAACTATCAAAGGGAGATCACCATATTGTGATTCCCATGGAGTTTTCAAAATTTTAAAGGAGTTCCATCATAAAAAAAGGCATAAAAAACTTAAATTTGTTGAGTCTAAGATTTAAATGCAGATCTAGGGAATAAATCCACGAATTTTTTAATATATTCCTTCCAAGAATCGCTTTAAAACTTTCATATGGATTTCGGATAGTTGCTACAACTCTGGGGTTATCCTACTTTCCATCATGAAAATACAGAATAAATCGACTATTTTTTCGAGAATTAAATGCAGAATTATGGGGAATTAATCTACAATCATTTAAATATATTCCTTTCATGAATCGGTTAAAAACTGGCAAAGATATGTATATTCCCATATTGCCATATCGTGTCACCCATGGGGTTTTCCTTCTTTCGAATGGTACTTGAGTAAATCTATAGCTAGCAACCTTTTCCTCAGACATTACTCTTTTTAAAACATTTTACTCCCATTTGCATTTACATGCAACATATGCCACACTCAACATACTCGTACATCACATTTTTGCATATTAATTTTGCTTTGTAATTTTATGTTGTTTTGTCCATCGTTGTGGAAGTGTTTTTTGTTTTTATTAATTTCCGTTCCCATCTGAAGGATACATCTCGGTGCCAGGATCTCGGTCCTTCTCGTCGTCCACTGCTCTGCCAGGCAAACTTTAGCTTGGAACAAACAAGCTACGTCACTTGATGGACGGTCAACAACTTCAGAGGAACAGCAGTCGAGTTGACGGTCGGCTTGATATGTAAATCATACAGCCAGATGTGTCCAGCACATATATATTATATTCATGTTGATAAATCAAAATATGTGTCTGGCAAAGGGAGGTAATGTGTAATGTTCAACACAAAAATTTCAAATATATGTACCACTATATCACTAGTGCTGACAGGACAGGGTAAGGATTATTTATAATTTACAATTATTGTTCCAGATCTTAAATGTCTCAAGTCTTGTTGATAATTTCTTGTCGTATTTAACGCTTAATTTCACTCAGCAAAAGTGCCCCAAGTTAGATGCCAACTTTTGCGACTTTCATGAGCTCTTTTTTGACCTCTGACCTCTTTGTCAGCTCAAGAATTACTTTTCAACCCATTCTCTGATTCTGCATGCACAAAAGTGGCGCTTTTCATGCTCTATTTTTTATTCGTGGCGTAGTGTGCTCGGTTTCCTTAAAAATGCACAAAACAGGTTGGTCCATCTGGCGGCGGGGTCCTTCTTCTTCCTTCCGTTTCTCCTAGTCCTTTTTTGCTCCTTACTCCGGGCACAGTCAAAAATGCGAAGCCCGAAGCCCGAAATCCGAGATCCGACGCTTTATGTTCGCGTTAACGTGTGCAAAATCTGATGGTTGGCACTAACTTGCGGATTTAGGTGTTGAAAATTATGTGTAAAATGTGTCACAGTTAAGCTCCGCCATGTTCCAGGCTAAGTTCTGTGGGTGTGGGGTGGTCCGGGCAGAGCTGGGTTGGGCAGGCTACGTGGCTAGTGCTAAATGTCGCCCAAGGCCAGGCCATGCGCCACTCCGCCCCTACCCGACACGTATCCTATTTCTGGCACAGAGGGCAGGTCACATTTTCGAGTCATAGTTTTCATCGCTTCCATCGCTGCATATGCAGATGAGATGGGACACACACACAAAGGCAGGGGGAAATCTGGGAAACCCATGGAGAGGGGGGCGCCGTGGTGGCTGAGCGTGTGCATTATACAAATGAGTTTATGCAATTTTCGACTCAAGCTGAACTTTGAACAATTTTCGGCCAACTTCATCCAGAAACTTTAGTTTCAGATTTAATCGTTTGGCCAAAAATTATCCGAGGAATTTGATTAATTTAAAAAAAAATTTCCTAAACTGCATGGCAGTGCCAAAAAGTTGCACCCAGTGCAGAGAATTTGATTTTCTTAAGAGGTTTCTTAGTGGATTAAAACTTAATTCTCAGATGGCAGAGTACAAGTGTTATTTGAACAATTGATCAAAGTTTCCTTAAAAAATCAAGCCCAATAAAATTTTATGTCTTAAATCCTTTTAAAAGAAAACATGTTTGGCCTGCGTCTGAAGCAGGCTTTCCCGCAAATGACCCAGTCGCTTTTAATTATTCGAACACCCTCCAGGCATTCATTTTCATGTAAAATCTTTTATGCATCAAAGTGTCCTGGAAGGACCCTTGGGATGCGTGAGCTTGTGTGTCATTAGTCCGCACATATTGCCTCTCAATCTCCTTTGGCTCGACCTCAAGAACCTGATCCACAGCCAGGATCCCATGTCCTGTGACCTGCACGGGCCATGCTTCTTCTTAATTAAAATATTTATTAAGCACTTTTGGTGCAGGCAACAAATTAATACCAGAGAGCCCAATAATGTTGCAGCAGCAGCAGCAGTTGCAATAACAATTTATGAAACAAAGTGAAGAGGATACAAGTAACACAGAGGAAAATTTAATTTATTTTTAAAACTCAAGATATTAAACACCGTTTACTTTTTTTTTTACAAGAATTTAAAATGCCAGCCTGGCAACAGAAGTAAGGTAGCCCGCAGCTTGTATTCGTTTTTGGGAGATCCTGCCCCCTCTATTTGGCGGCACCGCAATGCTACTGCAACAGCAGCGCCAACATTCAACATTGCAGCTGCCGGGTGGCAAGTTTGGCCAACTAGGCAGAAGTAACACGGCCAGAGCCCTGCTAACAATCGTGCGCCAGTTTGACGGACAGTAGGCCCTCGAAAAATGCAGCTGCCGCCGTGGCATCCACGCTCCCTTGGACCCCTGCTGGTTCTGTTGCTGCAACAAAGCAACAAAGTCTGGCGTGCAAAATCTAAAATATTTATGCGGCCAGGCTGGCGGCATCCATCGTCCTGGCGTCGCTTCCTGCGAGTTGTTCGTCAAAAAGTTTGCCTGGCCGGGCCCGGGCCGCAGGCGGGGAAAGTCATAAAAATTCAATGAAAAATTGAAAAACTATTAAAATTGTAAATGTCACCAAATTCCAAGTTTTATTTGCCTAGAAATTGCAAATTGAATAAACACAGAGCATTGAACTACCCGAAAGGATACACTTCTTAATTATTTTTGGGACACAAATCTTACCTCGCAGTTGACATTGAAAATGTAATCTCCAAAATTGTAAATATGTTCTCCAGAATGCTGCTGTTTCTGTGTGTTTATTTATACATTGGAGCTGCGTGCCTAGTTTATGCAATCGAGGCTAGCGATTGGGACCGCTGATTTTAGAAAGGTAATGTCTCAAAACGCCGTGAAATTATTACAAAATACTGCCCGCCACATTGACTTTCGAAAAAATCAATTAGAATATTGAAATTGACCGTGCGGCTTTGTCCAGTCCAAACGCAAGTTAAGCGCATTAAAGATAATTGCAATTTGTATTATGTAAATGGCCGGAATGGAAAGTAAAAGTGGCTGTTGGACCACGGGGAGCTGACGAAAAATACAATAAAAACAAACAAATTAAGTCCAGGACCCCGCATAAATATTTGTTTTTTTATAAGCTTTTTCTTTTAAATGTGATAATTGTTTTCCAATCGACAGAGCAGAAATGCAATGCGTGCAATTCAATCAAAAAGTCGGGCAATTTCCTTTTCAATCCTTCTTTGCTCACGGCAAAAAATTAATTTATGCATACTTTTTTTTTGTTACTCCTAGACCTCGTCCTTGCTCTATTGTATACGAGAAAGAAACCAGCGACAAACAATAACAAAAATACAGAAAGCTATGGGGCTTAATAAATAAATTAGCTGTTAGTCGAATTGTTCCATTAAATTGGTGATTATCGGCTTTCGACATGGCGCCGTAATTGGTTTCGGTGATTCCATGAAATTTGAAATTAAATTGAAAATTGAAAAGCGCAAATGTTAATTTTATTTTATGATATTTATTAAATGCGCATAAGCACTTTAAAATCGATAGCGAAATGCTTCGGTCAGGGATATCCGGCTGGGAAATAATATCCGGGATTTAAGATAATAAACAACCATGATTGTTTTTTTTTTTTCAATATTTATTGTTTGTTAAAGAAAGGCAAAAACTAATCTTGCAGGAGGTATAAAATATACCAAAATTATAATTTTGGTCAAAAGGCTTCAACGCAGTGAAGGAGACATCTCCGACCCTTTAAAGTATATATATTCGCGATCAGGATCACCTCCTGATGCTTATATAAGCATGACCGTCTGTCTGTCTTTTTGCATACACCCTTCTTACCTTTGCACGAAAAATATAATTTGGAACGGCCGGGATCGCCCGACCTTATCCTATACATCTGCCATATTGAACCGGAAATGCCATAACTTCAGTACTATTACAGTAAGAATGTTCGAATGTTTTTTATGGATTCTATTTTTGGCAAATTATAAAACCCCATTTTCAAGGGATCCAATCACGAAAATGGAAAAAAAATATAAAAAATATTTTGTCTCAGGATTTTGATGCAGAATGGTGGAGAATCGATCTAGAAATCGTTTAAGGTTTAAGAATCGGATGAGAATTGGGGAAGACATAGCCATCACAGTAGACCCTATAGGGGAAAACCCCATTTTCAAGGGATCCCATCAGGAAAATGGACAAAAAATCTAAAAAATATTTTGTCTTAGGATTTTGATGCAGAGCGGTGGAGAATCGATCTAGAAATCGTTTAAGGTACTCTACATGAGGGAAAATATAGCCACTCTCATTGGGGAAAATATAGCCATCATTGTGGGCCATATAGGGGAAACTTCATTGCAAGGGTCTTAAAAATGTACAAAAGTTATAAAAAAATTCTATTATCGCCTTGCGATAAATATCCGATCTGAACCGCAATGGTTCCGCCCGAAGTTAGCTTTCTTTTCGGGTTTGGTTTTAAAACTTTTCAAAATGTAGATCATATCTGGCGCTGGCTCTGGCTCTGGAGAAATTACAAGTTACAGCGTTGCGAGATCCGAAACCGATTGGCAGCTGCAAGGCGGGCTGGGCAATTGAAATGGCTTACCAACCTGGCCCACTCCCTTACACACACACACACACAGCCTGTCACTGGCTCACACAGATACGACAACCACAGGGTCCCTACACGGTAATTATCTAACAAGATTACGCAGAATGTTCCTCCCCAGCGATGGAGAACGGAAACATCGGCAGCCGTTGCAGTTGCACTGGGAAACTGCGAAACTGGGAAAATGGACAGCAGAGAGGGCGGAAAATTTAGTGGGAGGGGGCGAATGAGGAGGGGCTGGAAAAGCGAGGGCGATGCAACAACGGCTGATGACAGTGGGCACAATGCAAAATGTTGTTAAGTCGCTGGCAGAACGCTCCGGTGCACAAGTGGACTGTTGGGTTGGTGGTTATGGTTGCAAGGATGCCAGGATTCCCTTGCCGGGATGCGAGGGTGGAGTGAAATCGGTAGGAGCCAGGTAGGCGTTGGATTACGGCTCTTAATCCTGTGAATTTCTCGCTTTTACAACTGGCTTAAAGTGAAAGTGTGTCAGTCTCAGGTGTCCTTGCAACTGTGCATCCTTGCCGACGAACGCCGCTCCCAGCTCCCAGCTGGATGAGCCAGAGATGCGGAAATCATTCGCTTTCCCTTGATGAGTTGAATGTTTGGCAAGTATTTCCCAGCTGTGGGGAAACGGGTCTCCAGCTAAAGGATATTGAGATGGTGATTCGCTAGAAATTTAAGGCCCTCGGCTTGGCTCGCATTCTCTCTGAAAAATAAATCCTTTAATTGAGGTGGAAATTCCCTTCGCAACTTATAACAATGTTTTTTGTGCGGGACTCTCACCATTAACACTCGAGAAGTGCGTCCTTTTTCATCCTCAGTGAGTCGGTGAAGTTTTTAAAGCTTAAACACGCTTTTCTCTGTGCCAAAGCTACATATTTTTCGGTTGAATGCAATTTTTATGCACTTTGGATGCACACAAAGTCACAATCTCCACCCTATATTTTATTTATTCGGTTATTCGGTTGAGGGTTTTTATTCGGTTTTCCGCACTGCCAAGGTCTGCAGTTTGCCCGGCTGTGTGTGGGCGAGGAGGACGCGCATCAAATGCAAATTTGTCCTGCTCCTTGTTTGTCCTTTATGTTCATTTTGAATCCCTGGATTCTCTGATTGTTTGCCGTGTGTCTGCATCGGGGGATAATCCTCATTGCTGCTGGGAGAAAGTGCACCTGAATACGTACACTCATGTTCATAATGTGCATATTATCTATCAGAAACAAGATCATATACACAAAGTAGGGGACGGAAAAGCAGTCGTAAGTTTCTGGTTTATTTAAAATGGGAAATAATATTAGTTTGCCTCTGGAGTGGATAAGTTTGAAAATGAATATGCCAGCGTGTTTCGACCACTTTGTGGGGCCACAAAACATTCCCAATATTGACACACTTTCCCATGCAATCCCGCATTTGTTTGTGCGGCTTTATTTTAATGTTTGGTGTTTCAAATGATTTTGTGTGTTATATTCCTGCGGCAGCGATTTGCGGTGGACACTCGCAATGTTTTATTATCTAGCGCCGCTTTTAATTGATTTTCCATGTGCGGTTGCTGGATTTGTAATGGCCATAATGAACTTCAATTAGTTTTGCGTCCTGAAGTTGAAAGTGCGTGCTAATGAATTGAATATACGTTATTGGTTGTGCCAGAGCCAGGCTTACCCACGCTAGGTAGGGAAACCCAATCCTCAAAAAAGAAACGGTTAAGAAGCAAGTCAAGGCTAATCCCTGGTATTGGGTGGGGAATGTAAACCACATCAAAATCAAGTCAGAACCTAGACAAACACACTTGTTAGCTTATCATGTTACCCATGTTAAGCGTATTAATGGCAGCGAAGACGACGACAACAATGACAACGATGGGACAACAATAAAAAGGCGTCAGGCAGCCAAACAAGCCGGCAAACAAACAAACAAAATCTAGGCCACAAAACGTGCACCACGGAGTAAAATATTAATAGCCAGCTACTAAAATAGCAGACGCACAAAAACCAAACACAAAGAATCAGCATCGGCGCTACTTTTGAGGTCCTGAGAAACGGGGCCCAAAAGGAGGTGGCCTGCCAAGGGGGCGATGCCTAAGCCACTTCGAAGGTCCTGGCTTAGACGCAACTTGGTATGCAGCCAACCGTGATGCCATCAGCCACATTCCCCCACAGAGAGTGTGTGGGTGCCAGTTTGTGGGTGTGGGTCTTGGGCTTAACCTCAAAACTCTGTCTGTGCGGAAGATGGCTGTTAATGTGTCACCCGACAAAGTCCTGTCTTGGAGTACATTGTGGGGTTCTACATTCCTAGGAACTTCTATTAGGAGTTTCTATTTCCTAACTAACTAACTAAAGCTTGTGTCAGTAATTATTACCTATATTATATGTACATTTAATTAACTATTAATGCAGAATTATATTTCCGGTAATCCTATCAATGCTAATAAATAACGAATTTATTTTTATATATTAGTGGTAGGCTTTCATTTGTAAAATTAATAGTTATTTAATTCAAAAACGATTGCTCAACTCAGTTTTTAATTTAATTCCAATTTTCAATGGTAGTTACTTTGTTTTTATAATTAACTTTAAATTGAACCAATTTTTAAAGGATTGTTTCATTTATGACCTCATCCGACTGACTATTTCTAAACATTTTGCAAAACTTTCCCAACCATGTTGCCATCGCCGGGCCTTTGTTTGGCCGTTTTAAATATGTATGGGCATAAATTGGCTTTCATTGACAACAGAAGCGTTAAGCCAGGGGGCGTGGCCATTTGTCATGTTAAACGTTAAACACAAACCAAACAACAGCCAGACTCCGTATTGACATATTGCCGGGCTTTAGTTTCCTGTTTTTGATACGACGGACTGGCCACCAAGCGACCGCGCCATAAAAATAATCAACATAAATTGTGAAGAGGCTGGATTGGGTGGGTGGGGATCTGGCTGGGTGAGCTGGGTGCATAAATAAAGGGAAGGGGAAACAATAACAATAAAAATAATAAAGCAAAACAATGCCAGAATATTTATGGCCACTACGAGAGGCCGCGCAAAAAAAAAAATGAAACAAAAAGCGTTATTTGTCCAAATGACTGTGAAAAAAAGCACCTACCTCCCGGCCCCGCAGGACCCTGGCTCGTTGTCTAAATATACTTTTGTCTGCGTCTGGCAGAGTAAGCAAATCAACAAACCAGCAGCCCGGGGCCAAATGCCGCACTGGGAATAGGGATCAAAAAGGGGAGGGACATAGACAGCTCCCCGCAGAAGCACTCGATGCATCCTTTACGCTTAGAGCTTCTTAAAGTGGAATAAAATATTTAAGTAATTAAATTAATCAATTGGAACAACCAATCTGGCCGACAAAAGATGGAGAAGTGGCTATCCACAATATTCTCCATCAGGGCCACCTCATATTTATGTTTATTGTTTGATGAAAACTGAAACTCAGCCAAAGTTGCGAGTGTCCTTGTCTGCTAAACATGCAAATTCACTTTGTATGCTTACTTACATGTGCAAA